GGGGCGGGCCTGGGGGGAGCCCTTTGTGTTCTTTTTTTCATCTATTCCCCCCCCCCCCCTGGGGGGGGGGTCTTTTTTTTTTTTTTTTTTTTTTTTTTAAAAGATGACCGGTAAGGGGATCTTAACCCTTGACTTGGTGTTGTCAGCACCACGCTCAGCCAGTGAGCGAACCGGCCATATCTATATGGGATCCGAACCCGGGGCCTTGGTGTTATCATCACCGCACTCTACCGAGTGAGCCACGGGCCGGCCCGAGGTGAGATCTTTTATAAGCCCCATTGACAGATGAGGAAACTGAGGCTCAAGGATAGGAAGTTGCACACCTGGCCTCTTAGACCTTTCCATAGAAAGGCTGAGCTGAGAACCTAAAATCCAGTACGCATGCCTGTGTCAGAATACTGTTTACATTAACCTTTCTGTCATTTGCCCTCCAAAAAGACACTAACACTCCCATCCCACCAGTGGTCTGAGGTTGGCATTGCTTTAACCCTTTCCCTCCCAGAGTCAGCACTGGCATGGGCCTGGGTGCTGCTTCCTGCTGGGGGCCCTGGGGATTTGGGTCTTGTGGATGAGTCGGACACCCCCCCAGTCTTCTTCCAGCTTGATGTCCCCCTGCTGCAGGGCCTGCTGGATAGCATGGGCAAGGGTGTCAAAGGTCAGGTCCACATTGCAGTTGTTTTTGGCTGAGGCCTCCATGAAGGCTATGCCCAGGGAGGCAGCCAGCTCCTCTGCCTCCTGGGCTGAGACACAGCGGGTGCTCCACAGGTCACTTTTGTGGCCAACCAGCAAGAAGATCGCCTTGTTGGGGCCCTGATTGGCCATGACCTCCTGGTGCCAGTCTCGGATGTGTTCAAAGGACTTCCTGTTTGTCACATCAAAGACCAGCATGACACCCACCACATTGCGGTAAAAGGACCTGGTGATGCACCTGAGGAGGTGGAGGGAAGGGGTAAGTTTGGACAGACCTATGCCTTCAAGACATCCCCAGAGGCAGGACCCCCCACCCCACCCCTGGGATCCACAGAATGCCTTGTACCCCATTATAGCTTATTTCACACTGCCCCATGCTTCTGTGTCTCTCCCAAGAAACTGGACACTCCCCAGTTAGGCAGCAAGTGTGACTCACAGATTCTCGGGGCCACTCCTCCATTCCTGGAGGAGGCCTGATGTTTCCCCGACTGCAGGTCTTTGCTTCTCCATTCCCTGCCTGGCAAACTCCTCCTCATCCTTCAAGGCCAACACAAACCTCCCTTCCTTTGACATCTCCTCGACACTACCCTCTCCATTCTGTGGGCTCTCGGCCCCAGGTCATTCATCCCTCCGTAGCTCCATGTTGCTGGGGTGCAAATCCCCCCAGGCCTGAATGTCCCTCTAGGGCTCTGGGTCTTGGCCCACCCAGCGCGCTTGTAGAATGAATCACTCACAGTGAGGGAGGGTGTGGCCCAGCGGACTGGGCAGGGACCCCCAGACCTCTACTTGGGCCACTGAAGTGGGTACCTCTGGGTGGTTCCCATGGCCAGGTGGACGGGCACTGCCCCCCTAACCCACCTATCCACCCAGAGGTCTCGCCCGCGACCCCCCTCCCAGCCCACCGCACCCCAGCCGCCCCGCACCTGAAGCGCTCGTGGCCCGCGGTGTCCCAGAGCTGCAGCTTGACGCGCGGCCCGGCCCGCAGCTGCAGCTCGCGGCGGTAGAACTCGACGCCGACCGTGGGCTCGGGCTCGGGCTCCGCGACCCCCGCCATGTAGCGCCGCAGCAGCGACGTCTTGCCCACGGCCGCGTCCCCCAGCAGCGCAATCCGAAACTGGTAGCGGCAGCTCCCGGCCTCCATGGCCCGCACGTCGGGCTCGGCGGCCCGGCGACTATATGTTCGGCCCCGCCCCTGCCCAGGGCCGGGGGGGTGGGTGGGAGGGGGCTCCTCCAGGCACCGCCCCTGCTCCCGACCCTGAGCGACCGGTCACAACAGAGGACTGTGGAGCCTGGGACGTTTTCAGCACAGGAGACCAGACTTGGACGGAGTTGAGTCAAGGGAAAGCACCTGGGCAAGACACTGTTTCTCTCTGAGCCTCAGTTTTCTCCTCTATAAGATGGGAATAACCCCCTCACCCTTCACAGGATGAGGGATTAAACTAGATAATGTGGGGGAGGGGACTAGAGAGGAGATTTAACCAAGCGTGCCAAGCCTGAGAGACTAACAGTGCTAGAGCATCCACTTCATTCATTCGTTTATTGGGGTGGTTCCTCTGTCCAGCCCCATCTGCCCGTTGGTTCCCCAGCTGGGGCTCTGCTGCTGGACCTAAGGACACCACTGTGAAAAGAGGATGGTTTATAGGCGTTGCCTCCCCAGCCAGGTGCCCCTTTCTCGGAGCCCCATTGGCCCTGGACTGGGGCCTCCAGTTTAATGTTCAGGTTAAATGTTCAACACCCTCCCCCACCTCCTCCCCATCACCACTGCTTCTTCCATGCCTGCCTGCGCTGGACACCAGGGCCCCAGAATGGACTTGGGCACAGTCTGATAGGGAAGGCAGGACAGACACAACTGCAGTTCTAGAGGGAGTTGGCCTGTGAACTTGACAGTTAACCTTTATGAAGCCAGATGGTCAGTTCTTTAGGCTTTGTGGGCAGCAACCCTTCGATTAGGGCTATAAAGTGCCCATTTTAGAGCTGAAGAGACTGAGGCTCAGAGGTACGTCTTGTAGGAGGTTACACAGCAGACACATCCAGGTTTGTCTCACCCCTTGATGCCTCAAAAGGGGACCATAAGGCAGGTCCCACGAGAACCAGGACACTGTGGTTGGATCTCGCTTGGGTTAGGGGGTACTTCCAAGATCCATTTCACCCTTTCCACGCTGACCTCCTGAAAATCTAGGGCATCAAGGCAAGGTTGGGATTCTAGCTGGTTTCAAACAGCTTTAGTCTCTTGGTTTGCTCCCTTATTAACCTCTCTGTCCCACTGTGGTGGATTTTACCAGTTTAACCTGTTCTGGCAAATGGGTATGTGGGGAAGGGGAGAAGTCCTCACTGTTGCAACATCATTACATTTCCTTCTCAAACAACGGTTGTGAATAGATATTGTTATTCTGCCCATCTTTACAGATGAGGAAACTGAGGCTCAGAGAAGTTAATTAAGGTCACTTAGCAAGGAAGACTGAGACTAGCTGCCACGTCTACAAAGGCTGAAGCCTCATTTGCTATTTCTGTTTCTGGCTGGACAAGTTAGAGATCTGGGAAGACCCAGGTTTCTTCTAATTCTAAACAAATCACTGGAAAACCATTTTCAGGTCCCCGTAATCCCAGCCATTGGTCACCTGCATGGTAGAGTCTGAAAGGGTCCAAATCTCTGCTTGCCCCCCAGCTCCAGGAGTTGAAGAAAAAGAGGAGCCTGAGAATGTGTGAACCTCATAAAGGGGGTGTGTGTTGGGAGAAGGTCTTCCCCTGCCGGTGCTGCCCACACCGAGAGATCCTGCCCTACTGATTCCTCCATCTGAGCGTTCTCCCCGCCTCACTCTATTCAGCTTGAAAAATATTTTTTGCATCTGGCTCCTGCCAACGCCCTCAGCCCCTTCTCTTACCCACTACTGGTGCTCTGAGCTCCAGCCATGCTGAAAACCTTCCTCTCCTCAGCCCACTGCCGGCAAAACTCCTCTGCTCTTTAAAGGCTAACTAACCCTACTTCAGGTCTCAGTTTAGATCCCCGTCCTCGGGGAGCCCTTCCCTGACTGGCCAGATGAGGTCACATGTATTTTTGTCCACCATGATGTCTGTCTGTCTCCTGGGGGCAAGCACCTTGGGGGCAGGGACTGGTGGTTGTCTCCTCAGTGCCTAGTGCAGGGCTCGACATAAAGTGGAAACTCAGTACATATTTACGTTGCATGAATGAATGAAAGTGGATAAGTGCTATTCGCTCATTCATCCATTCAGTCAGTCAAATGCCCCACGACGGAGCTGAACTTATGGAGCCAAAGGGTCGGAGAAGACCTCTTGGAGGAGGTGCTGCTGAAGCTGGGTCTCCAAGAATAAGTGGGATATGGGGAGGTCAAGGAGAAAGGGTGCTCCAGGCAGGGCAGCTGGATGAAGGCAGAGGCATACAACAGTTGGAAATGCAGTTTGAACCCAGCCCTCCTTGAAGCCTTTCTGATCAGCTCACATGGGCAGTGCACTGTCAGCATCAGACTCCTTGAACTTCCTCCTGCTCTCAGACACTCCTGCTGTGGGCCAGGGTCATGTGTCTGCCTCTGACTGCACCTGGCACTTGAATGTCAGCTGACCTCTGCCACATATTCACTGCATGACTCTAGGGGCAAATTATTTCCCTTTTCCAAACCCTGCTTCCTCTTCTGCTAAGTGAGGTAAATCATGGTGCCCACCTCACAGGGTAGTTCTGGAAGCACTGTGTAACACAGCAGTTTAGGTTATAAACATTTGCATTAGACAGATCTGGGTTATAGTTCCAACTGCCACTTACTAGTTATGTGACCTTGGCCAAGTTTCATTCATTCATTCATTTACTTGATAATTATTTCAATAAGTGCTGGACATCTTTTACATATCAGGTACTTACACAGCAGTGGAAATAAAAAAGACAAAATTCCTGCTCTCAAAGGGTGTATTAGTCCATTTCTGTTGCTTATAACAAAATACCTGGAACTGGGTAATTTGTAAAGAAACAATATTTTTTGCTTACAGTTTTGGAAACTGGGAAGTCCAAAGTCCAGGGAACATACCTGGTGAGAGCCTTGTTGGTGGGTAGTGACTCTTCACACCAAAGCAGGGTATCACATGGTGGATGGCAGAAGCAGAGTGAGAGAGAGCTCTTCATGTGCTCCCCTTCTAAAGCCCTCAGAACCACGCCCATGACCACCATTAAACCATCAATTTATTAATCCATTCACTAGGGCATGGTCCTCACAATCTGATCACTTCTTCAAGGTCCCACTTTTTAATTACCATAATAGGATTTCCCACCCTCTTAACACTGTCACAGTGGGGGTTAAGTTTCTAATACATTGACTTCAGGGGACACAATTCAATCCACAGCAAAGGGGAAGACAGAAAACAAATACATATATAATGTGGTGTCAGGAAGCAATAAGTGCTACAAATAACAATCAAGCAGGGCAATGGCCTGAAGGGTGGGGGGTGGGGTGACCTATCAAAACAGGATGGCCAGACAGCGGTGTTATAAAACCAAGGTCAAGGGCCGGCCCAGTGGCGCACTGGATAGTGCGCCGCTTGGGAAGCGTGGCGGCGCTCCCGTCCGAGGGTTCGGATCCCACATACAGACCGGCTCCCGCTCACTGGCTGAGCGAGGCGCGGGAGCAACACCGAGGTTTGTGATCCCGTTGCCGGTCCCCGGTCCGGTACGGGGGCAACACTGAGGGTTGCAATCCGTTGCCGGACACGGAAAAAGACAAAAGACAAAAATAAATAAATAAATAAAAAATAAAAAAATAAAACCAAGGTCAAGGGTTCAGATCCCTGTACCAGCCAGCTGCCCAAAAACACAAAACAAAACAAAAATAGGATGGTCTGAGGAGGTGACATTTGGACAGAAACCCAGGGGAAGTAAGGGAGTGAGTACTGTGGTTGTCTGTGCTGTCCAAGCGAGGAGAGCTCCAGGCAGGAGGAACAGTAAGAGCAAAGGCCCCGAGGTGCGAGCAGGCATGGGGTGCTCCAAGAAGAGCAAAGAGTCCGGAAAGAGCGAGCACACTGAGTGGGGGGCACGTGGTGGGCAGGAGGGGAGTGTGGAGAATCAGCCTAATCGTGGCTTTGGAATCTGTCATGGGGACCTCGGCTTTTTTCTAAGTGTGTCACAGAGTCATTGGAGATTTTCGAGCAGATGAATAGCATGATGTAAATTTCTCACTTTTTAAAAAACAGCATTATTGAGGCATAATTGACACAGAATGAACTTCTCTTATTAAAGTATATAATCAGGGCTGGCTGGTTACTCAGTTGGTCAGAGGGTGGTGCTGCTAACACCAAGGTCCAGAGTTTGATCCCTGTACTGGCCAGCTGCTCCCCCCCCAAAAAATGTACAATATGGGGCCAGCCCGGTGGCGCACTCGGTAGAGTGTGGCGCTTGGGAGTGCGGTGGCGCTCCCGCCGAGGGTTCACATCCCATATAGAGACCGGTCCGCTCACTGGTTGAGCGCGGTGTGGGCGCAACACCAAGGGTTGCGATCCCGTTGCCGGTTGCGCTATGGGTGTGACACTGAGGGTTGCGATCCTGTTACCGGTCACGAAAAAAGACAAAAAAAAGGAAAAAAAAAAAGTACAATGTGATGAATTTTGACATAAGTATACACCCGTGAAATCATCACTATCACAATAATGAAATTAATTCTAAAAATTCTATCCCTATATACCAGCAACAACCACTGGGAATTGAAAATTAACAAAAATAATACCATTTTATAATAGCATAAAAAATATGAAAAATATAGGAATAAATGTGACAAAAGATATGCAAGACCTATACAATGAAAATACAAAACATTGTTGAGAGAAATTAAAGACTTAAATAAATGGAGAGCTATACCATCCTCATGAATGAGAAGACTCAATATTGTTAAGATGACAATTCTCCCCAAATTATCTATAGATTCAATGCAATACCAACCAAATCCTAGTAGGTTTAAAAAAAAAAAAAAGATTAGCTGATTCTAAAATTCATATGGAAAGGTAAAGGATTCTAAATAGCTATAACGATTTTGAAAAGGAAGAACAAAGTTGGATGATTTTTATACTAGTTTCAGGACTTATTAAAAAGCTACAGTAACAGGAGGGGGTTAGGGAGGAATTGATTAATGGACACAGAATGATCATGTTTTGCAATGATGAGTATGCTAATTATCATGATTTGATTATTACACACTGTACACAAATACCAGTAGTCAACTCTATATGCCACAAATATGTATAATCCATATGTTTCAATAAAAAATAAATAAATAAAACAATTTTAAAAAATTAAAAAATTTTTAGATATAAAAAGCTATAGTAATCGAGACAGTGTAGTATTGAATCCAGAAACAGACCTATACACGTGGTCAATTGATTTTTTTATGAAGGCACCAAAGAAATTAGATGGAAAAGATAATCTTTTCAACAAATGATGCTGGAACAACAGGATAGCCACATGCAATCCATCAATCAACCTTGACTCTTACCTCACACCACACAAAAGTTCACTCAAAATAGGTCATAGATGGGCCGGCCCGTGGCTCACTCGGTAGAGTGCGGTGCTGATAACACCAAGGCCGCAGGTTCGGATCCCATATAGGGATGGCCGGTTCGCTCACTGGCTGAGCGTGGTGCTGACAACACCAAGTCAAGGGTTAAGATCCCCTTACCGGTCATCTTTTTTAAAAAAACAAAACAAAAAACNACCAAGTCAAGGGTTAAGATCCCCTTACCGGTCATCTTTTTAAAAAAAACAAAACAAAAAACAAACCCTTGACTTGGTGTTGTCAGCACCACGCTCAACCAGTGAGCGAACCGGCCATCCCTATATGGGATCCGAACCCGGGGCCTTGGTGTTATCAGCACCGCACTCTCCCGAGTGAGCCACGGGCCGGCCCCAAGTCAAGGGTTAAGATCCCCTTACCGGTCATCTTTAAAAAAAAAAAAAAATAGGTCATAGGTCTAAATGTAAAAGCTAAAACTATTAAACTTCTGGGGAGGGGGGGAAGCAGAAAATCTTAATGCATTTATTAGGCAAAGATTTTAAAAACAGGACACAAAAAGCACAAACAACCAAAAGAAAAACATCAAAATATTAGACTTCATCAAAATGAAAAACTTTTGCTCTTTAACACCATGGCTGGTGTGTAGAGACGGTACCGTAGGAAGCAATGGCAGAATCTGGGAGCCTATTGCTCTCATGGGGTCAGCGATCACAGACTGTAGCATCAGCGGAGGTTGTCAGATTCTGGATACATTTTAAGGTGGAGCACACAAGATTTGTTGATGGACTGAATACGAGATCCTGCAGAAAGGAGTCCAGGGTTACTCCGAGGATTTACTGAGATGGGAAAGAGCAGGGTTGAAGGAGGAAAGGTTGTGTTTTAAGAAGCCTACTTATTATCAGCACCGCACTCTCCCGCAGCCTACTTATTAGACATCCGAGTGGAGAGGTCAAGGAGGTAGCAGGATACAAGGTCTGGAGCTTAGGAGAGAAGTGGGGCTGGAGTTACACACTTGAAAGGTAGCAGCTAGTTTCTTACCCTCTCAGAATCTGTCGCCTTCTCTGTAAAAGCAATTACTAGTAGTACCTACTTTTTAAAGTGTATGTAAGGATAAAAATTAGTAGATTATGCACAAAATAGGTGCTTAATTCTTGGCAACTATTCTTTATGCTTTTATGTTGACGCTTACTCATTCAGTCCATGAGTGTGGTCTCTGGGGTGGACTCCGGATTCCAGTCCTTACCTCTCTTGCTAGCTGTGTGATCCATTCCTCAGTTTCCTTGTCTGTGGAAAGGGCACATTTATGATACCTATACACAGGGCTATTATGAAAACTAGATGAGATCATCGAGCGCTCAGTCAAATCAATGTATTTATGGTTAGCCTAAGACAAGCCTTTAACACATAATGCCTTCGTCTGAGTCCTCAGTCGCCTCCTGCTAAGTGGCCCTCTGTAAGACCCCTCTCCAAGACGCACAGAGTCCCTCCCCGAAACCCGCTCAGTCGCTGCTCGCCCGCATCCGCACTGCGCTCCGAGCGGAGCCCTTTCCCAGCTCACGGGGTGAATTCCTGACTTGGAAAGTCACCCCAGAGAAGAAACTCCACAGGCCGGGGCGAGTCTGCTTCCTGCGTGCTTCCTGCGCCTTGAGCTGCGGGAAGCGGATGGAGGTTCCTCCCACCCGGAAGACACCGCTGCGTGGTCCCCGCCTCCTCTGCGAGTGGGCGAGGCCGGGCGCGCGCCGGGGTCGGGGCGGGGCCGCGCCGGGGTCCGGGAAACTACAACTCCCAGCGGCTGTGCGCGGCGCGAGCGGCTGGTCAGCGCGGCTGCGCAGGCCCGGCCTATATATGCCCCCTCCCGGTGCGGTGCGTCCTTTCTCCGCGCTGCTGCATTGCTGGTGTCGTGGGTCTCTCGGTGGTCGGGTCTGCTGCCGTCCACGTCCGTTCCCCTCAGCCTTACCGCCGCCTGCCCGCACCCGCCGCTCCAGCCACCTAGGCCGCGGGATGTGCAGCGCGGCACCGAGGAGCCGGGCCTACCCACCTGGTGCGGCCGGAGGCCCGGAGGCCACGTGGGCCGCCTGCGCTGGGAGAGGGGCCGGAGCCCTCGGGGGCCGCGCCTTTTTCCCGCCGCGACCTGCGTAGCCCTGCGCTCCGAACTGAGCGGTAAGTGAAGCGGGCAGGCGGCCAGTGAACGAGAGGTGTAGGGTTCGGTAGGTGGAAGTCCTGGGTCTGACGTGGCCTGATATGGGGGAGGCTGTGCGGTGGTGTCGGGGTGACCATCAGTTTAGTCTGTATGATTATTTGCTGGGTGTCCCTGGGCAAGTGATTTCGCCCGAGTTTTCTGGAGGTCATTCTGGTGGATATAAGGACGCAGTTTTCAGAAGGGCGGGTTTGAGAGTCATTCAGGCGCTTTTTTGAATCCCAACCCTGGTATTTCTACCCTCATAGGCGACCGTGATCGGTCTAAACGTTTTGTTTTTAAAATAGTAACAAAATGGTTCTGTGAGGATTAGGTGAGATTAAGCACACAAAACACTGGCACGCAGTAAACTATTGTGGTTGGGGCGGACCTACAGGATGACCGTTCTTTTGGTCTCCAGAATGCCCGGGTAGGCAGTAATGATGCACAGGGTTTTGGTGAGTCAGTTGTGGGGCTGTCTTTGTGACCTGAATTGCCCCGTGGCCCTTATCGAAGCTGCAGCTGCTTCCACATAGCTGCTGTGGTCAAAAAGGAGCCCAGAGTGACAGTTTTCCTTGACGGTCGCCATTCTGTTTGCTGTAACTGATATGCAACATTTTGGGAAAATACAGTTCCATTGTATCTACTGTTTCTGAGGTATAGCCAGAGACCTTTATTAAACTTGGCATGTTTCTGTAGGGAAGCAGCAATGTTGGGGTCTTGGACGTAGTTAACTTTTGAGGAGTAACTTGCCGAAGGGAAGTGGAGGGGCAGTTGGGAGTAGGTTGGACATCTGTACTGGGAAGATTTAAGTGACATGTGGCACAGATCATGGCAATGGTCTGGGTCACTGCTCTGAAAAGCTTAAGGCATCAGTATGAGGACCAAAGGCCTGTCAGAGCTTTGAGAATTAGATGAAGGAAACAAGATCTTTGAGGATGATTGTGTTCTCATTTCAACTGTGGCAGATGAAGATTCCAGGAAGATTCTGATGAGTGAGAATTCTGGGGGTCATGACAGTGATGAAACACAACAACTTTGGGACCCGGTAGGTTTCTTTTGGACACTTATTTTGGAAGCTACCTGGTGGGATAGTACAGCATGTTTCCAAGGGCTGTGGCTGTGTGGCCATGGGATCTCCAACTGCATGCGAGAGCAACCTGGAGAGACTTTGACAGCTCAGGTCAGCACAGTACCTGCAGCTGCCACTCGCCTTTCCTATAATGTTTCAGACCTGGGCTGGAAGCCTTCTACCTGAGTACATGTGTTTTCTGTCAACTTCTTGGTTAAAAGCATTTCACACTAAGCTTTTGTTCTGCAGGTTGTCCTGAAGTTTCCTGATAGTGACTGATACTGAAGAATCTGAGGAGACCAGCTTGTTTCTGGAGCTGTGCCTTAGACTAAGGTAAAGTTGATGTTGGATACAGCTTGACCCTCTGGTTCCCTTTCCCATCAGATCTGTACACCGGTCTTGGTGGTCGTAAAAGGAGGGAAAGTAATACTGACACTGGCCTCGCAGTGTTGTAATTTGGCATTATAGCATGTGGGCTAGTTTCGTACAGGTCCAAACAAGGTTACGTTTTATTTCCTCTCTTGTAAAATGGGGGATAATCTTAGGCTAAAGGAAAGACGTGTATGAAGCTCTGGGCAATTGGTGTAGCAATTGTTGAGTAATAAATATAACCATATTTTGGAGTGATCTATTATAGCTTTCTTGCCTCTTGATTGAGAGTGTCTTTTTTTTTTTTTTAAGATCTTTTAAGCTGTCCTCATCTGTGATTATGGATCTATAGAGTTGGGTAAGTTAATGACTACCTGAAGCTTTATCACATCTTCTTTGTAGCTTTAGATAGTGCTAGACTATTGTGAACCAAGTTCCTAAGCAATGTGGCAAATAGAATTTTAAGGTTCCTCTGGTATATGTAAAACTTTTAGCTTTTTAATATATTTACATCTGGCCTTCCTTATGTGCTATATTTGTTAGCTGTTCATGGCCAGAGGGCCTAGATAAATATTTACAGAATAGTTTGGTCTGTTAAATTTGCCCACCCTAAAGGCTATGAGTACATATTGCTGGAAGTAGAATGTCGCAGCGGGAACAGCCCTGCACCTTGGGCATGGGACTTCAACCCCCCCTACCCCACCCACTGGGAGATTGGGGGTTAGAAACAAGTAGTTCCAGCTAGCTCAGGGTATTTATTTAGGCTGTGACTGGTCTGGGATGAAACCTAACTTGAGTAGACATCTATGGATGACAGATGCGGATATGGGACTGAGACCAGCTCTTAGGAAAATGCCTAAGTGGGGATTAATCAAGGCAGTACTGACACTGATTTTCACTTCCTTTTCAGGAAAGAAACGCCATGGGAAGAGGCAGGCAGAAGGACAACAGGTTTTTTTTGGTGGCAACAGTAAGCTCTGTAAACAGTCCTTTGTTTTTTGCTAATGCTATATCTGGTTCCTAAATATAGGTGATCAATAAAAAACTCTTTTGTGTCTTGTTCATCAAATTATTGGTTACTTACCATTTAATACCCCATAGACCCAAACTGAACTACAATCTTCGTCCCTCCATAGAAAAGGCTGACCTCTTAGAAGTAACAATTTGGGCCGGCCCGTGGCTCACTCGGGAGAGTGCAGTGCTGATAGCACCAAGGCCCCGGGTTCGGATCCCATATAGTGATGGCCGGTTCGCTCACTGGCTGAGCGTGGTGCTGACAACACCAAGTCAAGGGTTAAGATCCCCTTACCGGTCATCTTTTTTTTTTTTTTTCCTTTTTGTCTTTTTTCGTGACCGGCAATGGATCGCAACCCTCAGTGTTGCGCCCGTACCGGACCGGGACCGGCAACGGGATCGCAACCCTCGGTGTCGCTCCCACACCTCGCTCAGCCAGTGAGCGGCTGGTCCATATGTGGGATCCAAACCCTCGGGCGGGAGCGCCGCCACACTTCCCAAGCGGTGCACTGTAGCAGTGCGCCACCGGGCCGGCTCTACCGGTCATCTTTAAAAAAAAAAAAAAAGAAGTAACAATTTGAGCATGTTTGCTTTGGCAGCACATACACCAAAACTGGAAAAAAACAGTTTGATCAATTCCATTACTACCTTTACACATATTTCTCATATTTCTTTGCTGGGCCTGAGACTATTATAGGTCCTTCCTTAGGTTTTTGATGGCTTCTTGTGGCCTAGGCACTGAACACTTTGCCTCAAGCAGCAACCTTCCCCCAAATTCCTCTAGCACAAATCTAGATCAGATGCAAATTTCATCTTAAACCTCACATTTTTCAGGAAGGGCTGGCAAGTGTCCTGAGCAGTGGACCTGACAATATAAATTGGAAGATGGGGTTTCCCAATCAATTACTTGGAAAATATAGAAGGGGTGGGTATAAGGTTGATGGAGGTCTGCTTTGGCAGTCTGTCCAGCAACGGATCGCAACCCTCAGTGTTGCCCCCGTACCGGACCGGGGACCAGCAACGGGATCGTAACCCTCGGCGTTGCTCCCGTGCCTCGCTCAGCCAGTGAGTGGGAACCGGTCTGTACGTGGGATCCGAACCCTTGGGCGGGAGCGCCGCCACGCTTCCCAAGCGGCGCACAATCCAGTGCGCCACCGGGCTGGCCCAAACTCCTAAGTCTTGAGCCTTTTGTTCTAGGCTGGGCCTGCTCCTTCACCTACCACCACCCATTGGGCCATGCTCCTCCCACCCCAGCTGTAATGCCCTTTTCTACCCCGCTGCTAGACTTGCAGCAAGTGTGGTGGTGGTGGCGGCCTATAATACCACAGGTACATAGCACTGACAGAGCAGGTACCTCCTGAATTTTAACTCAAGAACTTTAATGGTTTACATGCCTGTCACCTAAGAAACAGCCTCTTAAACCCACGGTTTAGCAAATTTTTGAATTGTGCCCAAGCTGTCCTTACCTCCAGAAGTGTGGTTAACTGCCTGTAAATGATTCTTAAGAAAACAGCAATTTGAGGGGCCGGCCCGTGGCTCACTCGGGAGAGTGTGGTGCTGATAACACCAAGGCCACGGGTTCGGATCCCATATAGGGATGGCTGGTTAGCTGAATGGGTGAGCGTGGTGCTGACAACACCAAGTCAAGGGTTAAGATCCCCTTACCGGTCATCTTTAAAAAAAAAAAAAAAAACAGCAATTTGAACCTTGTTCAACAGTTGGTCCCTTGGTTTTCAAACAAGTGGCTCACTGTCAAATGAAGGCAGCATGTTGCAGAAATGTTCAATCTCAGTCATTATTAAAACCTTACAAGTCATACTTCCAAAACGTTGCACAGTTTTTTAAAAAAAGTCTCATCTCCCTCACGTAGTCCATCCTGGCTTGTCCTTTGTCCTGGCTACATCATGGCAGGAATCTCTGAAGACACTGTGTCCAGGGGCTGCCAGTGACAGTCCATCAGCGCATCATACAGCTCCTCACTCTGTTCCATGAACTCCTTGTTGGCCTCAGTCACATCCAGCTGCGGCATGGGGTCTGGAAGGGTAAGGATGGGGTCAGGGAATGCTAAGGGGAGATGCACTCAATAGCCACAAAAGACTTGGTTTCTGTTTACTGCCAGGACTCTGTTCTAGAGTAAGGTCCCTGTCCTGTCAGTTTCCCCTTACAGGGGCTGATACTATTGCCTTATATGGTTCTTGGGAGGATAAAAATAGGATAATGTATTAAAACCTACACCTATATCTCTAGTCATCATGTACTGTGGATTTTCTGGTTTTGTCTTCATTTCAAATTTGGGTTTGGAAAGTCTGATCAAAGTTATTAAGTCCAAAGCAACATCTCAAGAACTGACAAATGTCCAATGAAAGAACTACAGTCAAATGCAAGTCTTGTATTTTTTAATATCTTTCTTGAATGTACAAAGTGGGGGCTGGCTGGTTAGCTCACTTGGGAGAGCACAGTGCTGAGAACACTAAGGTCAAGGGTTTGGATCACTGTTCTGGCCAGCCACACACACACACACACACACACACACACACACACACACACACACACACACACACACACACACACACACACACACACACACACACACACACACACACACACACACACACACACACACACACACACACACACACACACACACACACACACACACACACACACGTGACAAAATACATAATAGTATAAAACAAGTTAACTATTCTTAAAAAGGAATTATTACGTAGTAATGAAAATGAACATTAGCTGCACACAACTTGGATGAATCTCACAATGCTGAATGAAAGAAGCAAGATAGAACACATATTATGACTGCTTTATATAAAGTTAAAAAGAACTAAACGATATTGTTTAGGGATGGATGCATAGATAAGGTGATAAGAGAAGGAAGAAAATGGTTAACAGTAATTTTCCCTGGCAGGGCTGTGGGTTGTGATTGGGGGTAGGATGTTCTACTTCTTGACATGGATGAAGGTTTCATGGGGAACTGCTTTATAATTACATGTTAAAACTATACATTTATTTTATGTACTTTCCCACATAGGTATTTCACAATACAAAGTTTTTAAAAATCCATAATCAATAAGGCTGATAATCTCAGCTGCCTTTTTGGCCATAATTGACAAGGTGACCTTAAAATTTATATGGAAATGTAAGGGACCCACAATGGCCAAAATAATCTTGAATAAAAATTTTTTTTTTTGTCTTTTTCATGACTGGTAAGGAGATCGCAACCCTTGTCTTGGTGTCGCCCGCACCGCGCTCAGCCAGTGAGCGCACCGGCCATTCCTATATAGGATCCGAACCCGCGGTGGGAGTGCTACTGTGCTCCCGCGCTCCCAGCACCGCACTCTCTCGAGTGCGCCACGGGGCCAGCCCTTGAATAAAATTTTGAGAGGCCCAGCCTGTGGCTCACTTGGGAGAGTGTGGTACTGATAACACCAAGGCCACATGTTCGGATCCCTATATAGGGCTGGCTAGTTAGCTTACTTGGGAGAGCGTGGTGCTGAAAACACCAAGTCAAGGGTTAAGATCCCCTTACCGGTCATNGGGAGAGTGTGGTGCTGATAACACCAAGGCCACGGGTTCGGATCCCATATAGGGATGGCTGGTTAGCTGAATGGGTGAGCGTGGTGCTGACAACACCAAGTCAAGGGTTAAGATCCCCTTACCGGTCATCTTTAAAAAAAAAAAAAAAACAGCAATTTGAACCTTGTTCAACAGTTGGTCCCTTGGTTTTCAAACAAGTGGCTCACTGTCAAATGAAGGCAGCATGTTGCAGAAATGTTCAATCTCAGTCATTATTAAAACCTTACAAGTCATACTTCCAAAACGTTGCACAGTTTTTTAAAAAAAGTCTCATCTCCCTCACGTAGTCCATCCTGGCTTGTCCTTTGTCCTGGCTACATCATGGCAGGAATCTCTGAAGACACTGTGTCCAGGGGCTGCCAGTGACAGTCCATCAGCGCATCATACAGCTCCTCACTCTGTTCCATGAACTCCTTGTTGGCCTCAGTCACATCCAGCTGCGGCATGGGGTCTGGAAGGGTAAGGATGGGGTCAGGGAATGCTAAGGGGAGATGCACTCAATAGCCACAAAAGACTTGGTTTCTGTTTACTGCCAGGACTCTGTTCTAGAGTAAGGTCCCTGTCCTGTCAGTTTCCCCTTACAGGGGCTGATACTATTGCCTTATATGGTTCTTGGGAGGATAAAAATAGGATAATGTATTAAAACCTACACCTATATCTCTAGTCATCATGTACTGTGGATTTTCTGGTTTTGTCTTCATTTCAAATTTGGGTTTGGAAAGTCTGATCAAAGTTATTAAGTCCAAAGCAACATCTCAAGAACTGACAAATGTCCAATGAAAGAACTACAGTCAAATGCAAGTCTTGTATTTTTTAATATCTTTCTTGAATGTACAAAGTGGGGGCTGGCTGGTTAGCTCACTTGGGAGAGCACAGTGCTGAGAACACTAAGGTCAAGGGTTTGGATCACTGTTCTGGCCAGCCACACACACACACACACACACACACGTGACAAAATACATAATAGTATAAAACAAGTTAACTATTCTTAAAAAGGAATTATTACGTAGTAATGAAAATGAACATTAGCTGCACACAACTTGGATGAATCTCACAATGCTGAATGAAAGAAGCAAGATAGAACACATATTATGACTGCTTTATATAAAGTTAAAAAGAACTAAACGATATTGTTTAGGGATGGATGCATAGATAAGGTGATAAGAGAAGGAAGAAAATGGTTAACAGTAATTTTCCCTGGCAGGGCTGTGGGTTGTGATTGGGGGTAGGATGTTCTACTTCTTGACATGGATGAAGGTTTCATGGGGAACTGCTTTATAATTACATGTTAAAACTATACATTTATTTTATGTACTTTCCCACATAGGTATTTCACAATACAAAGTTTTTAAAAATCCATAATCAATAAGGCTGATAATCTCAGCTGCCTTTTTGGCCATAATTGACAAGGTGACCTTAAAATTTATATGGAAATGTAAGGGACCCACAATGGCCAAAATAATCTTGAATAAAAATTTTTTTTTTTGTCTTTTTCATGACTGGTAAGGAGATCGCAACCCTTGTCTTGGTGTCGCCCGCACCGCGCTCAGCCAGTGAGCGCACCGGCCATTCCTATATAGGATCCGAACCCGCGGTGGGAGTGCTACTGTGCTCCCGCGCTCCCAGCACCGCACTCTCTCGAGTGCGCCACGGGGCCAGCCCTTGAATAAAATTTTGAGAGGCCCAGCCTGTGGCTCACTTGGGAGAGTGTGGTACTGATAACACCAAGGCCACATGTTCGGATCCCTATATAGGGCTGGCTAGTTAGCTTACTTGGGAGAGCGTGGTGCTGAAAACACCAAGTCAAGGGTTAAGATCCCCTTACCGGTCATCTTTTAAAAAAAAAAAAAATTTTTTTTGAGGACTCACACTTTCCCACTTCAAAACTCACTTGAAAGCTACAGTAATAAAGACAGTGTAGCAGTGGCCTTAGGATACACATAGATCAATACAATAGGATTAAGAGTCCAAAAAGAAACCTACACATTTATAGTAAATTGATTTTTGATAATAACACCAAGACAACTCAGCGGGTAAGGAATAGTCTAACAAATCATGTTGAGACAACATGATTTCCACGTGCAGAAGAAGGAAGTTGGACCCTACCTCACATCTTACACAAAAATTAACTAAAAATCCATTAAACATGAAAATGTAAGAGCTAAAACTATAAAACTCTTACAAAAAAACAGATGTAAACAGGCAGTGGTTTCTTAGATATGACACCAAAAGCACAAACAACAAAAAAGAAACAAACTGGACTTCATATGAATTAAACTCGTTTGTGCCTCAAAGACATTATCAAGAAAGTTTAAAGGTAATCCATGAAATGGGAGAAAATATTCGCAAATCATCATCTGATAAGGGACTAGTATCCAGAAGAAAATATAAAGAACTCTCCCAACTCAACAATAAAAAGACAACCCAATTAAAAAATGGGCAAAGGACTTGAATAGATATTTCTCCAAAGAAGATATACAGATGGCTAATACACATGTGAAAAGATGATTTAACATCATAGCCATCAAAGAAATGCAAATCAAAACCACAGTGAGATACCACTGAAAACCCACTAGGATGGCTATAATGAAAGAGTAACAATTAAAATCAAGATGTTGCAGGATAGGGCCGGCCCGGTGGCGCACTCAGTAGAGTGCAGCGCTCGGGAGTGTGGCGGCGCTCCTGCCGAGGGTTCGGATCCCATATAGAGACCGGTCCGCTCACTCACTGGTTGAGCGCAGTGCGGGCGTGACACCGAGGGTTGCGATCCCATTGCCAGTCATGAAAAAAGACAAAAAGAAAAAAAAAAAAAGATGTTGCAGGATAAAGAAATAACTGTGAGGAGAAACTGGAGAAACTGGAACCCTCATACGTGTTGGTAGGAATATAAAATGCTGCAGCCATTACGGAAGTTTGGCAGTTCCTCAAATAGTTAAACATGGACTTTACCAAAAGATCCAGCAATTCCAGTCCTAGGCATGTACCCAAGAGAAATGAAAACTTTATGTCCACACAAGAACTTGTACATGAATGTTCACAGTACCATTATCCATAGTAGCCCAAAGTGGAAACAACCCTGATGTTCATCAACTGATGAATGGATAAACAAAATGAATGGATGTCCATACAACGGAATTTTTTTTTTTAAAAAGATGACCAGTGAGGGGATCCTAACCCTTGACTTGGTGTTATTAGCACCACGCTCTCCCAAGTTAGCTAACCAGCCATCCCTATACAGGATCTGAACCCGTGGCCTTGGTGTTATCAGCACCGCACTCTCCCAAGTGAGCCATGGGCCGGCCCATACAATGGAATTTTTTTTTTTTTTTTTTTTTTTTGTCTTTTTCCGTGTCCAGCAACGGATCGCAACCCTCAGTGTCGCCCCCATACCGGACCGGGACCGGCAACGGGATCGCAACCCTCGGTGTTGCTCCCGCGCCTCGCTCAGCCAGTGAGCGGGAACCGGTCTGTATGTGGGATCCGAACCCTCGGCTGGAGCGCCGCTGCGCTTCCCAAGCGGCGCGCTATAGCAGTGCGCCACCGGGCCGACCCCACAATGGAATTTTTTTGGCCATAAAAAGGAATGAAGTTGGAGGAGAAGCAGGGAGGGGGTTTGAGGAGGGATAGGCAAGGTAAAGGGCATAAAGAAAAATCATGATTTGTAATAATGAATACACTAACAAGAATTTTTTTAAAAAAGGAATGACAGATTGACACAGGCAACAACATGGATAAACTTTGAAAACAAGTCATTGAAACTTTGAAAGAAGTCATTCACAAAAGACCACATATTATGAGATTCAATTTAATAAAAATGTCCATGGGCCGGCCCGGTGGCGCACTGCTACAGTGCGCGGCTTGGGAGTGTGGAGGTGCTCCCGCCGAGGGTTCGGATCCCACATACAGACCGGCTGCTCACTGGCTGAGCGAGGTGCGGGCGCAACACCGAGGGTTGCTATCCCGTTGCCGGTCCCGGTCCGGTACGGGCGCGACACTGAGGGTTGCGATCCGTTGCTGGTCTCGAAAAAAGACAAAAAGGAAAAAAAAAAAAAATGTCCAGAATACATTATTGGGTGGGAGGGGGGAGAGGAAGGAGGGAGGGGGTTTTGGTAATGGGCCACAATAATCAACCTCATTGTATATCAACAAAATAAAATTAAGAAAAAAAAAAAAAAGTCCAGAATAGGAAAATCCAAAGAGAAAGTAATTTTCAGGAGCTGGGGGTGGTTGGGTATAGAGAATGACTGACTGATAATGGTTGCAGGGTTTCTTTTGGGGATAATGAAATGTTCTTGAATTAGTGGTAATGGCTATACAACTTTGTGACTATTCTAAAAACTATTGAATTGCATGTACACTTTAAAAGGGTAAATTTTATATTGTGTGAATTATATTTCAAAACAACCAAAATCCTAAAGGGGATCTTATATCGTATTTCATATTTGGCATTTTCTCATGGAGAATATTTTTCTATGTTAATATTCCTAGAAAAAGACAATTTGTTTTGTTTTGGTTTTCGCAGCTGGCCTATATGCAGTTCTGAACCTCTGACCTTGGTGTTATCCACGCCGTGCTCTAACCAACTGAGTCAGGCCAGCCCCACAATTTTTTTTTTTGTGGTTGGCCGGTACAGGGATCAAATCCTGGACCTTGGTTTTATCAGCATCATGCTCTAAGTAACTGAGCTAACTATACAGCCCAAAAGATGTAATTAAAAAAAAAAAATGGCTACCATTATTTGTTTAACAAATCCTCTACTATTGGATATTTATTTGTACTGATGATTTCCATTTTGGGATAAACTCTTTGAAGTAAAATGAGTGGTTCAATGGGTATAAACTAACTTTTCATAGAAATGTAGAATATTTTAATTTGTGTTTGATTATTAATAGTAATAGTGGGATGGTTAAATTTTATGTGCAAACTTGGCTAGGCTATGATGACCAGTTGTTTGGTTAAACACCAGTCTAGATGTTGCTATGAAAGTATTTTGTAGATGTGATTAACATCTGCAATCAGATTATCCTCAATGATGTGAGTGGTGCCTCATCTAATAAGGCTTTTAGAGCAAAATAGGTTTCCTAGAGAAGGAATTCTGCTTCAAAACACAGAAATTCTGGGCCGGCCTGTGGCTCACTCGGGAGAGTGCGGTGCTGATAGCACCAGGGCCACGGGTTCGGATCCCATATAGGGATGGCCGGTTCGCTCACTGGCTGAGCGTGGTGCTGACAACACCAAGTCAAGGGTTAAGATCCCCTTACCGGTCATCTTTAAAAAAAAAAAAAACAAAACAGAAATTCTGCCAGTTTTCAGTCTGCCAGCCTTACCTTACAAATGTCAGACTCATGCCTATAACATAAACTACTGTTTGAGTTTCCAGCCTGCGCCCACCTGCCATACAAATTCCAGACTTGCCAGACTCCCACTACTGTGTGAGCCAATTCCTTAAAACACATGTCTTAATACATACATAGATCCTATTGATTCTGTTTCTCTGGAAAATCCTGATGAGACCAATAGCACGTTTCAACTTTTTTCTTCTTGTGGTTTATAGGCCATTTGTGTTTCTTGTGTAAATTATTTCCAGCTTTGTCACCTACTTTTTTTTATTTTTTTGGCAGCTGGTAAGTATGGAGTCCCAACCCTTGCCCTTTGTGTTATAACACCACGCTCTAACCAACACCTACTCTTAAGAGTCTGTTTCACTTTCTTTTTTTTTTTTTCCCTTTTTTTTTTGTCTTTTTTCATGTCTGGCAACGGACCGCAACCCTCAGTGTCGCGCCCGTACCGAACCGGGACCGGCAACGGGATTGCAACCCTCGGTGCTGCGCCCGCCCCTCGCTCAGCCAGTGAGCGGGAACCGGTCTGTATGTGGGATCCAAACCCTCGGCGGGAGCACCGCCGCGCTCTCAAGTGGCGCACTGTAGCAGTGCGCCACCGGGCCGGCCCCTGTTTCACTTTCAAAACCAGTCAATGCTGAATCTTTTCACATAAGTACTGTGCCTGTTCCTGCAACCAGAGGGATCTTTATCTTTCTCTTGTTATTTTAATCTAAATGATAACATTTTAAGCTCTGAGCATCTACAGAGGCTCCATATAGAAACTGTAAGAAAGCAGGACATGATCAGCTTGGTAACTCCACTCGGTGTAGTTAAATTAACAGTTTATAGAAACAGATTAGTGAAGGGCTTACTTAAGGGCAGCGATTTGTGTGTGTGAAGTCTATGGGTATGTTATTACAATAAAGCAGGCTGCCTCACTTAAGACAGGGCCTGGAGTGTCGCGCCCGGACCGGACCGGGACCGGCAACGGGATTGCAACCCTCGGTGCTGCGCCCGCCCCTCGCTCAGCCAGTGAGCGGGAACCGGTCTGTATGTGGGATCCAAACCCTCGGCGGGAGCACCGCCGCGCTCTCAAGTGGCGCACTGTAGCAGTGCGCCACCGGGCCGGCCCCTGTTTCACTTTCAAAACCAGTCAATGCTGAATCTTTTCACATAAGTACTGTGCCTGTTCCTGCAACCAGAGGGATCTTTATCTTTCTCTTGTTATTTTAATCTAAATGATAACATTTTAAGCTCTGAGCATCTACAGAGGCTCCATATAGAAACTGTAAGAAAGCAGGACATGATCAGCTTGGTAACTCCACTCGGTGTAGTTAAATTAACAGTTTATAGAAACAGATTAGTGAAGGGCTTACTTAAGGGCAGCGATTTGTGTGTGTGAAGTCTATGGGTATGTTATTACAATAAAGCAGGCTGCCTCACTTAAGACAGGGCCTGGAAGGTGGCCTAATGAAGCCAAGAAAAAGATGAAGAAGGGTAACAATCCCTGCTGTGCCCACCTCACCGGGTGACTATTAGGTTCAAATTAGAGGCATTATAATGCAGTGATAAAGAGCACCAAGTCTGGGGCAAAACTGCAAGGATTTCAATATTGACTCCACCTGGTGCTAATTTGTTTTTTTTTTTTCCTTTTTGTCTTTTTTCGTGTCCGGCAACGGGATCGCAACCCTCAGTGTTGCACCCGCACCTCGCTCAGCCAGTGAGCGGGAACCGGTCTGTATGTGGGATCCGAACCCTCGGCGGGAGCGCCGCCTCGCTCCCAAGCGGCGCACTGTAGCAGTGCGCCACCGGGCCGGCCCGGTGGTGCTAATTTGTAACCTGCAACTATATTGACCTTGAACAATAAATTTAACTTATCTACCTCAATTTTCTATTATATAAAATCAGGATAATTGTGGCACTTACCTCAAAACTGTTGTGATGACTAAATGAGTTAATACATGTAAGGTGCTTACACAAAGTAAAGCCTAAATAACTGTTAGCTACTACTATTAATAACTGTCTAAGCCTTAGTTTCTTTTTCTGTGCAATAGGGATAGGGATTATAATGGTACCTTATCCATCATGGTGTTGACAGGTAGCAGTGCATAGCACAAAACATGTTAGCTATTATTATATTATGAATAGAGGAAAAAGAGATTGGAAAATTCTAAGGAGTTATCTACAGATATTATTATATTTAGGTTAATTATCTCCAAAAAAGAGGCAGTGTTTCCTGGGGCAAAGAGCTATAGGCTTGAGTATCTAATTAAAGACAGAGACAGCTGGCCAGTTGGCTCAGTTGATTAGAGCACAGCCTTATAATGCTAAGGTCAAAGGTTCGGATCCCCATACTGGCCAGCTACCAAATAAAAATGATATGAAAGTCTTAAAAAAAAAAAAAAAGAAAGAAAGACAGGGACTTGAGTCCTGACTTTGCCCCAAGTCACTGTGTGAACCTCAGCAGATCACTTGGGCTTTCTGGGCCACTAGTTCCCAATCTGTCTTTTTTTGTAGGTTTTTTTTTGATAGTTGGCTGGTGCGAGAATCGAACCCTGAACCTTGGTGTTATCAGAACCAAGCTCTAACCAATTGAGCAAACCAGCCAGCCCTAGTTCTCTAATTGTCAATCAAAGCTCCTGTGTCCTGCCCAGTCCATCCACAAAGTCATTACTGTTAGAATTAGACAAGACATTTGTCTGAAAGTTAGCGATTCCTTCAGTTTTCCTTTCCTTTCTTTTTCTTCTGTCAAATTCAATAAAAAGTACAATATTTTTTTTTTTTTCCTTTTTTGTCTTTTTTCGTGACCGGCAACGGATCGCAACCCTCAGTGTTGCGCCCGTACCGGACCGGGACCGGCAAAGGGATCGCAACCCTCGGTGTTGCCCCCGCACCTCGCTCAGCCAGTGAGCAGCCGGTCTGTATGTGGGATCCGAACCCTCGGCGGGAGCGCTGCCGCGCTTCCCAAGCGGCGCACTGTAGCAGTGCGCCACCGGGCCGGCCCAAAAAGTACAATATTTTCAAATAAAAAAATTAATAATGGCTATTACTATGTTGCAGGATTAGGGGTGATTTTCAGTTTCTTCATTATACTTTACTGTATTTTCCAAGTTTTCAATCCAAACTATTACTTGGAAATCAGAAAAACATGTAATTTAAAATATACTAAAAAATAGAAAAAAATTAAAACATGAGATAAAAACTGAATTTTATAAACTGTCTAACAAACATTGTTAGAGACCACATCCCGGGGTAGAATACCACATGTCTGGGTAGTGATGGGCACTCTGGAATCTGCACGCACACCTCTGGGTAACACAGGTCATGTCTTACTGTAATTATGTATGTGCATGGCTCTCTCACTAGAATGCAAGTTCCTCCAGAGCAACGTTTACTTTGCATTCCCTCAGCATCTAGCTGAGAGCACAGTGTCAGCCACAGAGCAATCACTCACTAATGGTTGACAGAATGACCGAATGGACTCTTTCTTACCTTCCAATGCATCATCTCCAACTTCTTCATATGTCTGCCAAGAGACCAGAGAGGTGAGTGAGAAGCATGGAGAGATCCTGGCCTGTGACCACAGTAGCTTATTTAACAAGAGGAACTTTCCCCATTTTTACTGAAACCTAAGCCCCCATCCTTACCAATCCCGTCCTGGACAATGACCCTTTTCTAGAAGAGAAACATAACCCAAGGGGGCTAGACTTGCCAAACCACGGTTACCTGCATGGTGCTTTGGGTATAGCCATACTGGGGGTAACTGTAGCTGTAGCTGCCTGTGTTCTGGTCATAGCCCCACTGGGCATAGTAGTTCTGGTACTGCTGGTAATACTGGTTGTAGCTGTAACTGTACATCTGACTATATTCCACTGGCTTCACACGGCTCCTTAAACGAAGAAACAAAGATAAACAAATATAAGTAGGTATTTCTACAACATTTCCTACGTGGCCAGGGACTATTCTAAGTGCTTTACACAGATTAACTCACTTCATCCTCACAACAACCCTCTGTGTGAGACTATGAACATATTTTATTCTATCTTGAAAGTCCTTAACACTTGCTATGTCCTTTGTGTGAACCCTGCCCACAGAAGTTAAACAGTAACTAGGAGTAAGGTAGCTAGAACAATAGGCAGAAAATGCTTGCTGACTACAAAGGGACCTAATGATTAAGCACTGGTATTGTTACAGCCAGTCCAGCTACCTGTATCACAAGACCACCAACGATAATAATCGTTATTGTAAGTAGTGACTTAGCTTGTTTCTTAGTAACTGCTTCTTGGTTTTTTCCACTGCTTTGTGTGAACTGCCTATATAAACTTGGGTTTGACCAGGAGGTGGTGTGGAGAAACTCTGCTCATGCTACTAGGTCACTGACCACTGGATACATCATTCTGGAAATAATCATTACCATTTGCTTTATTGCATGAAAGTGCCTGCTTCATTTTCTGGTCTTAAGATACTTTCTCAGTTTGGTGGGCATTTTGCCTTTAGACCACCTTCAGACACTATGCAGTAAGTACATCACTATTCCTATTTTACAGATGAGGAAACTGAGGTATAGAGAGGTTAAGTAATTCACCCAAAGACAGGCGTTCCAGTAGCCTTATCTTCATCACTATAGTCACAACTACCATTTATAGTTATTTTGGATTTGTGCCCATCATTTTTCATATATGAAAAACAAAAAAACAAAAAAAACATTTTTCATGTATTGTCTTCTATTTTAAATCCTGTACAACCTTCTGATAGAGCTATTATTTATTGTTCCCATTATACACATGAGAATACAGAGCCTCTAAAAGGTTAAGTGATTTGCCCAGGCCACACCTAGGACTGGAGCCATATTTAACTCCATTACACACAGCACCTGCCCCAACAAGCTCACAACATTTTGCCAGTCTCCTACATCCTGCATTCACCAATCAGGGCTGCATTCACCAATCCCAGGATGGGCGGAAAGCGTTCTTCTCATTGCATGGCCACCCCAACTGCTGCTAACCAAAAACAGAACATCCAGCCCGCAAATGATGCATTACATTCAAAGATGTAAAAACCACATTTATTTTATTTTATTTTTTTAAATTTTATTTTGTCGATATACAATGTGGTTGATTATTGTGGCCCATTACCGAAACCTCCCTCCCTCCCTCCTTCCTCTCTCCCCTCCCACAGAACAATGTCCTTTCTGTAAAAACCACATTTATTTTATTTTATTTTTTTAAATTTTATTTTGTCGATATACAATGTGGTTGATTATTGTGGCCCATTACCGAAACCTCCCTCCCTCCCTCCTTCCTCTCTCCCCTCCCACAGAACAATGTCCTTTCTGTAAAACCCACATTTAAATAGGCTTAAGAAACAGGCCTAGGGTCTGACCAGTAGTGCTAGCTGAGAGGAATCAGAACGTAACTCAAGCTTGGCACATGGCAGCAGGTTTCCAGAGTCACTGTACCCTGAAGGGCCTGACGGCATCTTGCAAGTGTATACCAACACACACAGGAGGCAGTTACTGACCCCACCATGCCACTGGTTGGTTTATAAGGAGAATTGTAGCTGTCACATGTGTGGAACAACTGTGCTCTCATGATTGGTGCATTCGACCTCTACAGTCAAGCCCAACAGGAAACCAAGTGATTCGCAGGAGGTGTATACCACAGAAGTGAATCCCTGTCACAGCAACCACAATGCTCCATGTTTGAATGAGCACTTCCTAAATTCCTTGCAAGTTCAATGTCCGCTTGGTGAGCAGGACTCAGGCAGAGTAATTAGATGGACTCAATGTCTGACTGCCTTAGACTCGCCTGAAACCTTCACCTACAGACAGGGATGAAGCCCACTGGCAGTGATTCCTCCCTGCCCAGCACTTAGCTGGGCACTGCCAATATTTGCCTCTAAGACTCCCCTTTCATGATTACAAGCATGTTATCACCCTTCTGACATGGTCAGGTTATTGCAGGTAGAGTCTCCCTGGCCTGGGTCTGGTTTTGACTCCTTTAGGTGACTGTGCACATTTCTGTTGTTTCTAAACAAACAGCTGTCACAATCTAACTCTCAAAGGAAACTCATCACTCTCATTCCTAGGGCTTAAGGGCACCTTCCTGAGGCAGACACCAATACTGACAACAATGTTCACTGAGGAAATAGATGTAACAGAATATAACCTCCTTGCAGAGGGGATTTTGTTACTCTTGTTTATAGCCACATCTCCAAAACCTAGGACAGGGCCTGCATAATTGTAGGTACTCAGAGATTACTGACTGAGGGCCGGTCCGTGGCTCACTTGGGAGGGGGAGGGCATGGTGCAGACAACACCAGGTCAAGGGTTGAGATCCCCTTACCAGTCATCTTTAAAAAAAAAAAAAAAAAAAAATGACTGAGTGAACAATAACACATCAGAAAAAACCAAAGTGGCCGACATCAGAGGTCTTGCTAGAAAGAACATACACTCAAAAGAATATCCTGCAGCTGGTAAAAAAAATTATGATTGTGCAACTATATGGAAAAGTGTGTATACTGAGTAAACAGGAAAAAAATGTGCACTATTTTTGTAATTAAAAAACAAAGAAATACAGGTCAGCCCGTGGCTTACTCGGGAGAGTGTGGTGCTGATAACACCAAGGCCATGGGTTTGAATCCCATATAGGGATGGCCCGTTAGCTCAGTGGGTGAGCGTGGTGCTGACAACACCAAGTCAAGGGTTAAGATCCCCTTACCGGTCATCCTTAAAAAAAATAAAATTAAATTAAAAAACCCAAAGAAATAAAATCCACCACATGTAAATTGATCCATGTCATATATATATAAATCATGAATGCATATGCAAAAGTCTGGAAGGGAACTGAGAAATTATAGTTACTTTAGGATGATGGAATTATGAGGAAATTTTTCTTTTTCTTCTTCTTCTTTTTTTTTTTTTTTTCCTTTTTTTGTCTTTTTTACTGACCGGTAACGGGATCACAACCCTTGGTGTTGCGCCCGCACTGCGCTCAGCCAGTGAGCAGGAACTGGTCTCCACATGGGATCCGAACCCTCGGCGGGAGCGCCGCCGCGCTCCCAAGTGGCACACTCTCCAGTGCGCCACCGGGCCGGCCCATGAGGAAAATTTTCTTTCAAAAATTTTCTCTAGGGGGCCGGCCTGTGGCTCACTCGGTAGAGTGCGGTGCTGATAACACCAAGGCCATGGGTTCGGATCCCCCATAGGG